TTCCTCCTGAACTCACAAACAACAAGAAGGGTGATGCAGACAGCAGCAGCAGTATCAGCAGTTCTGTGTGGGTGCGTGTACCACTACTGATTGTGGTTACACTGGCCTGTATTCTTGTGTGCTGATTGTGTGGTGTGACTCAGGTCATCCTTTGTTTTCTTTTCTTTTTCTTTTTTTTGCATATAATCCCTACACTCTAACTAATCTTCCACCTGTTGGGATTATCTTTTTTGTTTCTTAATGTTATTGTGTTTTGTGTGTTTTTGCTCTCTTTGTGTTTATCCTATAATAATTATTGCTACTCCACTGTGTGTGTGTGTGTTGTTGGAGACTCTCTCTGTGTGTGTGTGTGCTTGGGCTTGCACTGTGATGAACTGTTTTGTAGTGGGAAAAAAGAAATAATACTAACATATGAATTTATATGTATAATTGCGTATGCACACACATATAGACTTACACCCATAGTTGGTGTATTTCTCTGTTTACTGTGTAAATTGGGCTAATGGTTAATATCTGTTTGTCTATTTGCTTGTGTGGTTTGCTGGTGGGTTCTGCGCTTTTCCATGCAAGCGTTTTGGTGATATGTTCTTTGAATTGAAATACCCCATAAATAAAGCAGTTATATTCATAGGTGCATATTTACTTAATAACGGCTGTATTTCATTATGAATTTAGTGATTACTGGATACGTTGGTCTTGCTCTTTATTTCCTTTTTTTGTTTTGATTTTTATTGTCCACGTTACCACTATAATTTTTTTCTTCCTTGTTTATGTTTGTTTGTTTCTTTGTTTTTCCCTATATTATTTCTTTTTTTCTTCGTCCAGTTTAACGACCCACAAAGAACAAAAAGAATATTTCTTTGTCAAGATGCAGGTACGACGTGTATTGTATTTTCTGGCTCTAATTATGAGTGTTGCCTCTGTTTGCGTGGCGGCTGAAGAGAGTGAATTGGAAGAGGTGGCCCAACATATTCCTGCACCTGGTTTTGGTGTTGGTGAATGTCCTCCAGGCAAGACTGGTACTCCGTGTAAAAGTAAACCTGGCGTAGCTGAAGCTGCTCGTCCTGAGTGTGTGGATGCTTCTGGAAACAATAGTTGCCCTACTACTACTACCATTAACACTGAAGACAATTGCGGTGATGGTTCTAAACCTCCTTGTCAACCACCTGCACATAAAGGACAAAAAACCACTACAACAAAAATACCAGAACATAACGACAAGGGTCCTTCTGTGGATCTTGGACCAGGTGGAGTAGCTGGTGATGCTGCTGGTGCTCCTCCAGGTACTGGTGTTGCTCCTGCAGCTGGTCATGATGCTTCAACCAGTTCTACTGAAGAAGAGAATCACGATAAGAACCCTGTTCAAGGCGAAGCTGATCCCGCTGCTCCTGCACCAGCTAAGGAAACGGGTGGTCTGAATGCAGGTGACGGTGATGCTGCAAGCAGCGAGAAAGGTACAGCAGGTGGAAGTGCAACAAACGCGGAGAGTACAGCACAACAGCCTTCTTCTTCTACCAACACAGTCACAGAAAGTGTCGGCAGTTCTGATCCTTCAACTGAGAAAGAAAGTACATCTGTAGAGAGTGGGTCACCAAGTACAGAGGAAGGGAAAGTGGGTAGTACAGAGACAACCACCACTACAACAACGCTTCTTCCTGAGACTGTAAACAACAAGAAGGGTGATGCAGACAGCAGCAGCAGTATCAGCAGTTCTGTGTGGATGCGCACTGCAGCACCGCTACTGATTGTGGTTGTGTTGTTCTCCGCTACCGTGTACTAAACTGTGGGACTCATCTGAGGACAAGTAATAAATAATGGTTAAACTAACATAATCGTAATTGCGTACATCCACCCCATGGGTGAAATAAAATTAATAATCTGTTTACCAGCTTTCTCTTTTAATTGGAATTTCTTTACTTTTATGTGTGTGTGTTCTTTTTCTAATAATTCCATTATTTGCTTTTCCCCGTTGTGTGTGTGTGTGCAGAAAACTGGGCTGTTCTGCTCACTGACGGTATACATCTCTTGCTAGTACACACAGATGTGTGAGTGCAGTAATTTAATATACATAAACTAGAACCATGGGGTATTGTGTGTGTGTGTTTGGCTCTCTCTCTTATTTGGGTATTGTGGGGTCTTTTCTCTTTTTTTCTATTAAGGGATACATATTATCACTATAAGCGGGATATTCCTTGTTGTTGGTTTACTGTGCAGTTCCTGCTTCTCTCTCTCTCTTTTCCAATGTGAGTATTTGTGTCCTGCATCCACTCACTATGTGTGTCTCTTTTTTTTCTTTCTTGTTTCTCTTTTCCACACTCCCTGTGTAGACCTGTGAACTCAACTGACGATAACAACAAGAAGAGTGACACTAATGATAACGAGGATGACAAACCTGTGTTAACTGACACAACTCTTGGTTTTCCTGGTGTTGTTGGTTGTGTGTGTCTGACGTTATTGCAAGATATGCATAACGCCCCGTCTTGTTCTTCTTCTTCTATTCTAATATCTACTGTTGTGGAGCCACATAAGTTGCGTGCAGTGGAAGATGACACTCCTCTCTCTCTGTTGGTGCTTTCATGGCAACTTCTGCAGAGACCATCTTGAACAGTGCCCATAATGTGCGGCCAGGTGATATTATGTGTCTTCGATGTCCTCCACCAACAATGACTCGTCATTTCACTCCTCATTCTGTTTCTCCTGTTGATATTGTTGCTTCTGCTTCTTCTTCCGGTTATTCTAGTACTGCTGGCATGCAGTTTGTGAAGGAGACGGATCTCACCGAGGAGGAGAAGCTGTACGGTAAGTGTCTCTCTTGTGATATGCTGCGGGAGTTGTTTGAAGTGGGCCGTGTGGATAGTGCCACAAACTCGCTGGAGGCCATCTTT